TTTACAACACAAACCGATACGAGTTGGAAGTGAGAAATGGACTACGGATGAAGCTGGATTCGTAAAAAACGAGAAACAGAAGCCTCGATCCTTTAACCTCCTTGTCATGTCCATCGATTTCCGTTACCACAATTTACGCTTCTTTCTTCTAATATCCCAAAAACAAAAAACCTTTTCTTCCAAAGATCATCACATTAATATACGAAAAAAACAAACAAAAACAATTTAATAAGGGCTTAATAATCTTCGTTTTGTTTCTCTTATTTATTTTCCTCGATAATTCACCTCTAGAGTCTACTTGGTAATATCAGTAGGAGCAGCTACTTGACCTTTTGTGCGCATGCTCTCTCTCTTCTTCTGCAAAAGCTGTAACAGTCTCTCTCTCGAGCCCCTTTCACCGCCACAGAGAATCACAGTAAAAAAACAAAAAGTTTACCAGAGAGAGAGAGACATTTTCACTACTCTCATCTCTCTTTCAGTCACTTCGTCGTCACTATCGTTTTGCTTTTGTCTCCTTTCACTTTTTAACTCCTAACTGCGAATATTACCCGTTGAGTCCATTTTCTTCTTTCTTTTAAGCTCTCCTCTAATGATTCGTTTAGGTTCTTCTTCCTCTTCTTCCACTGTACAATTGTCGTTTTCCTGATTCCCAACTGTCTCCTTTCTTTCCCCATTCTCGTAACTAAGCTATCGATAACACAAATGTACACTCTTCTCTGCTTTTCCTGAGAGATTCTTCTTCTTCACGAGCTCCAATCCTTCACAAAGCTGATACACTTTTTCTCTGTATCACACAACTCAAAAGAAAAGACTTCTTTTTGCTCCTCTGGGTCCCTTTTTCTCTCTCTCATCTTTGCTCGATTCTGTTATTGGATTAAACTCGAATTTCAGATTCTGGCTCACTGGGAACTACAAGTTATTGAATTTGAGGCCAATGTGTCTCTAAAGGAGGCATTTTTTTCCCTGTGTGTTTACGATCTCTCTGAGTTTGTGGGTTGTTAGGGTTTCGTGGTAATGACGGGAGAGTTACAGGAGACGGCGGATAAAACGGCACCTTGTGCGGCCATAACTGAGAAACGGCCTAATCGGCTCAGTGGTTGTGTCGGCGTTTTCTTCCAGCTCTTCGATTGGAACCGACGCTTCGCCAAAAAGAAGCTCTTTTCTCGCAAATCATTTCTTCCTGGTTAGTGTCTCACTCTCTTAGTGTATCTACTGTTGTGTCTGAAGATAGTGTGTAATGAAAGAGTTTCTTCTGCATTTCTCAGGGAAACAAGCTTCGAAGAGGTTTGGAAGGGATGAGAAAATGCTCAAATCTAAGCTTAATCTGGTGATTACTTCCTCCTTTTTTGGTTAAAGTTTATATCTTTAGTTTGATTTGAGAAGCTATGTTGATTTATGTCCTTGTGGGTGTTGAATGGAAATGATAGATTGATGATGAGAACAGAGGAAGTTTCCCAAATAGGGGTGAAGTTGCAGAGCTTAAAAAGCATGAAATGAGATCTCCTAGTTTAGTGGCACGTTTAATGGGGCTTGAATCAATACCATCTAACCACAGAGATAAAGGGAAGAAGAAGAAGAAACCGCCGTTTTTGAATAACGATGGATGCGGCGATGTGTTTGATGGCGAAGAAGATAAGGGTTTCGATAAGTCAAGGCCTCAGAAGATGCAGAGAACAACAACAACAGGTGTTTGTGATAGGCGTATTGTGGCGAAGAAGTTTGGATCCGACGCATTGCAGATTAAGAATGTTTTGACCAGAGTAAGGAAACATCATCAGTATAATAGCCATCATCAGCATCAGAAACTAGCTTCTCCTGTTCGAAGCCCGAGGCTTCATGGAAGGAACTCTCGGTTGATTGAAGCTGCTGCTAGGATTCTGGAACCAGGATTACAGGCAAAGAGAAATGCAAAACATGGTATTGCATTTCCAGGTTCTTCGGGATCTAGAAGGTTTGAAAATGTTGGGAAAGATCCAGTTGAAGCTGTTGTTTCACCAGATTGTCTAGAGTTTCAAAACGGGTATAATAATAGTGTTGCTTCTTGTAAAGCTTGTGGTAGCTTTGTTGATGTTCATAGTTCGATTCCTGTTGCTGAAGAAAATGGAAAGAACACGGCGTTTGTTTCTGAATCATTGCCCTTTGAACGGTGTAAAAGAAATGTATTTTGGAAAAATCAAGAACCATCTGATTCTGTTTCTGGTAAAGGTAGAGACTGTACGAATCAGATGGAGAGGAAGGCTTTACACCGTGCTCAAAAGGATGAAATGGCACTGCCGAGTGTCAGAAACCGATCCGATTTTCACAATCAGGTATTGCAGGGGGAAAGGTTTCCTCCGGAAGCTCGATCTTACACCTTACAGAGCAAAAGAGGTTGTTCTTCACCTGCAAATGCGGTCAACTGTAAAGAGAAAGACTTTATGGCTATGAATAGAGGTTCTCGTAGCAGGAATCATAACTCGAAGTCCCTGGCTAAATTTGAAAACTCTGATTTGAATCTGCAGAGAAAATCTCACACTAGAGTTGAGGATGCTTCTAATAGATCAGGATTAAGCACTCCAGCACGGAAGAGAAGGTTATCTTGTGTAAGTGGTCATGGACGAGGAAGTAGCTCGATGAGTCCAGTGTCAAGAAGATTAGATGGTGAATGCTCTTGCGATTGTAGTAATGGCCCCAGCGGTAGTAATGGAACTACATTTTCTCCATTGAAATTTGGTTCTCCTCATAGACATTATAGCCAATGCTGTAGAGAACCCAGAGAAAGAAGAGGAGTTCAAAGCGTTCCAAATCAGATGGGCGAAAGAAACCCAAGAACAACATTTCAGAAAAGGCTACCGCTAGATGCAAGTACTCTGGGGATGATTCAGCAAAAGTTGATAGAATTGGCTTCTCGAGAAGAAGATGAGACCATAGGAGGATGTGCTTTTCCCAATAAATCAGACTCTTTAATTCTCCATGAATTGCTATCTTCTTTAGCGATGGAGCAGCCTTATATTCGAGATACCGAATTGCCTTGTGCAGAAACAGCTAACTGGGTATGCTTATAATCTTCAAGAACTATAAAATTTTAGTATTTTTTATCTTGATTCATTGTGCTTCTTGATTCTTGCAGAGGAAAGGCAAAAGAGAGTTGTGGAGTTCCATTGGAAATGCAAACAGTGATTACACGAGCCCGGGTTCTGTACTTGATGCATCTTTCTCTAATGAGAGTTGCTTTTCGAATAGCATCGACAATATCTCAGGTACATAAGAGATAAGATAGTAATTAATTTTTGGAAAACATCAGTTATTGTATCTGAAACCCAAAACTGCTGTTATGGTTTGTAGTTCCAGGACAGATAAGGCTACCGCTAGAGCCTATAGAACCCAATTGGGACGCTCTTGAAGATTCCGCGACTTCGTTCATGAAATCAACAAGTAGTGGCGATTATCAAGCGATCGCAAGTCTGGTTAGCCATGTCTCTAACGTCCTGCGCTGTTTAAGCAACACAGGTCTCATATTAACGCAGCAGAGATTCACCAATGCTAGAGAAGTTATTATCCACACGGAGCTATTGGGTTGTACTACTATACATAAGAACTACCTCATCGGTCCAGAAATCTTCGATGAACTTATGATTTACGCAGCTCGTTCTGATGATCTGGTTAATCTCCCTGGACTAACCGGAGGGTTCCTTGTGGATGCCATGATTGAATACTTGGAACAAAGAAACATTTCCTGCGGATTAAAGCCTTCAAGTGCTAAAGCTGATGAGTTGATTCGAGGTGTTCTTGATGAAGTTCCAAAGTGGGTAAAATCGGAGGCTCAGTTTGGTATGGATGAAGTTTTTGGTTCTGAGATGGATCTTGAAACCCATTTGTTCGGACTTGGAACAGAGATTGCATATGAGATCCTTTGGTGTTTGGTCGGAGAGTTAGCAATCGATCTTGGAAAATCCTTTCCGGTGAAAACTCATCTCTTTTAGAACAAACTGGATAATGTTTTGTCAATAGCATTTGTGTAATTCTCTCTATTCAACGATATGATCAGAATGCTTGTGCTACAATTTTATTCGCTTTTAGTTCTATCACAAATCTATCAATCACCAAAAAAACCAAACTCAGAAAAAAGAACAAATCTTTATCAATCACAAAACCTAACAAAAAAAAAATCAAATCGTAGAAAAAAAGATCAAATTGTGAACGAAGAATCAGTAAATTTGTCTGTAACCGAGAACACTCCGACCACCGCCGATTGATTTTCTCCCTCCTCCTCCACCGCCGATAATGGCGGAAGCAGCAGCCATGGAGATTTTTTTGAGATCTTCGACCGTCGCGTAGCTTTTACGCGCCATACCCATCACCCCTTTGCTCTTCTTCTCTCCTGCACTCGCCGATATGCTTCCTCTCGTGGAAGACGCAGATCCGGCGAAAAGGGCGTTTCTGCTCTTACTCGGCGGTGGAGTAAGCTCTGTTCTCCGAGGAATCAAGTTCGAATTAACCGGCCGGCGATTTTCCTTCCGAATCATGGATGAGAAATCAGGTACAGATTGGGCCAAAGAAGACGACGACGATATTGATTTCCGTCGATTCGGATTCGGATTAAACCCAAATCTCGTCGAAACCCTAATTGCTTCTTCTTCTTGACCGAATCTCGTCGCTGGTTTCTTCCTCGGTTTATCTCCACCGAAGAACCTCTCTTCTTCTTCCTTAAGAATCCTCTCGAAGTCCCGTTTCATTCGAAGCTTTGATTCACGTAATCTCGCGTATTCGCCATATCTGGGTCCTCTCTCGAATCTGCAGAGACTGTTATCGGAGTTTTGAGAGAGAAGGAGAGACATTGGATCAACAGAGAATAAGAGTGGTTCCATGCTTGGGTTTGAGATCGTATCTTCCATTACTGATTTTGGTCAAATCTTACAAAGATTAATGGTTTGATTTCGCAGTGTGTCGTCTTCTTCCTTACAAAAAAGATTTTGTTTTTTTTTTCTTTGGGAGCTTTATTAATTTGTAACGGTCTGATTGAACGAGAAGGAGATTTGCTAAATATGTTATTCTATGGACGCTTTTACCCTTTTTCCTTTCCACTTCTATGTAATTCTAACGGTCTTATTTTTTCTTGTGTGGGCCCAAAAAAGATAATTGATCGACGGTCACTAATTCTTAAGCGACAGTCTTATCTTTAGTAGATGGACAAGCTACACATATACACACATTTACAAATATTTTGATTTTTAATAGAAATTGATGAAAAAAATTAAGAGGCAGTTGTAAAAATACCACTAATTATGGATTTA